TGCCACTCATGCCTGCAGGTCCCAGCCTGTTTGTCATCTTCTGTCCCCGATGGCCTTTCTTACAGATTTCGGACTTGCTTAGCCAGCCACCACATTCGCATTGCCCAATTTCTTACAACAAATCTGGTAATAACATAGGTATCTCCTGTTCTGCTTCTTTTGTTGAACTCTGATACACTATTTTAATAAATTAACAGGGTATAAAAACTTCATTGATAGGGCTTCAAATTCCTCACTGCAACTAATCTTCAAGGAACCACCACTTGTCAACTTTTTTTTTTTAATCTTTTTTTTTTTAATATTTTATTTATTTATTTGACAGAGAGAGAGAGATCACAAGTAGGCAGAGAGGAGGTAGAGGGAAGCAGGCTCCCCGCCGAGCAGAGAGCCCGATGCGGGGCTCGATCCCAGGACCCTAGGATCATGACCTGAGCCGAAGGCAGAGGCTTAACCCACTGAGCCACCCAGTCGCACCACTTGTCAACTTTTGAAGTAGGATCAGAGAACAGCAGCGACAGTTACCTGAAAAGGCTATCAAAAATACTTCTCCCTTTCTCAACCACGCATCTGTGTGATTTGGGGATTTTCTTTGTGTACTTCAACCAAAACAATATACTGCAAGAGCAAAAGCAGGTTATAAGAATCCAGTTGTCTGGGGTGCCTGGGTGGCTCAGTGGGTTAAGCCTCTGCCTTCGGCTCAGGTCATGGTCTCAGGGTCCTGGGATCGAGCCCAACATCGGGCTCTCTGCTCAGCGGGGTGCCTGCTTCCCTTCCTCTCTCTCTCTGCCTGCCTCTCTGCCTACTTGTGATCTCTGTCTGTCAAATAACTAAATAAAATCTTTAAAAAAAAAAAAAAAAAGAATCCAGTTGTCTTTCATTAAGTCACCCATGAAAGATTTGTAATAATGAAAAACTGTCACACTTAACAATAATCTTTTTGGAAAATATAGGTAGTCTTCATTAAAATATGTTAACATGTCATGGTTTATTACCTGTTAAATTTAATAGTTCACTTCTAATTTCTAATATGGTAATTATAGAATAACAGCACATAAAAAGCTTTTGGGGGTCTTTATAAGTTTTAAAAGTTTGTACTTGATCTTAGCCAAAAGGCAGAGAAGTGATAATAATTTTTAAAAGTTTAAAGACATCCTGATGCCAAAAGATTTGACAAATACTGGTTAAGGATATACTGAGGAATAGCACTGCCAGTCATCAGATGTATCTTTAATTTTACAAGAAAAGGGAAACTATTTTCTGTAGTGGTTTTAACCATTTTATACCCACAAGCCATGAATAAGCATTTTTATTGTTCCAAAACCTGGCCAACTCCTAATATAATCAATTTTAAAATTTTAGCTACTTTCGTGTAATGGCATCTCATTATTGTGATATTAATTTCCAGTACTCTAAGAGGTTGAACACCTTTTCATAGGGTTACTGAGCAATTGGATATCTCCTATTTAGAGTGCCTGTTCAGGTCTTTTGCTCACTTTTCTATTGTCTTTTTGATTTGTGGAAGTACTTTGAGTATTTTAGGTATCTTCTTCTAAGGTCTCTTACTCTTTTTGTAATTTTTTGATGACAAGAAGTATATTTAAATCTTAAGTGGAATTTATAAATCCTTGCTTTATATTTGGTAGTTTGGGGATCTTGTCTAAAGATTCTTTTCCTACCTTCAGATCATAATGGCATCTTTCTCTGTTATTGATTTTGTCTTTCACAGGAGGGTCTTTACTCCTAGAAGCTGGTTTTTATGTAAGTAGGGGTCCAATTTGGTTTTTTCTCCCAGTGGATACCCTGCTGAATAGCACCATTTAAAAGGGACTGTTCTTTGGGGCACCTGGCTGGTATAGACGGTTAAGGGACCGACTCTTGGTTTCGGCTCAGATGGGTGATCTGAGCGTCGTAAGATCAAGGACGGTGTCGGGTTCCATGCTCAGTGCAGATTGGGATTCTGTCTCCCTCTCCCTCTCTCCCTGCTCCCACACATAAATAAATAAATCTTTTTTTTTTTTTTTTTTTTAAAGTACTGCTCTTTTTTCTCTCCTTTTTTCCCTGCCTCCTCTATCACATTTGGGTCTGCTTCTGGATCTCCATTTTCATTGCATTGTCTATCTGGATCTCTCTTCTGTTCTGTGGTTTTACTTGTCCATCTGCACAAATATCACACTGTCTTAATTTCCAGTTCATTGAGTCTTGATGTCCGCCTAGGACAAGTCCTGTTTTCCCTTTCAGGAGTGCTTTGTATCTTCTCAGCCATTTGCTTTTCCATATCACTCTTAAACTCAGTTTATCAAGTCAGTCAACTTTTGTAATTTAGTTTGTTCAAAGAAAATAAAATGCCCTGACCTGATTTTCATTTGGATTACATTGAGTATATAAATCAGTTTGGGAGAATCAGTATCTTTATGATATTGAGTCTTTGGATCCATGAGTGTGCAGTAGCTTTCTACATTTAGTTAGGCCTCTAATGACTTGATAAAGTTTTATGTTGTCCTTATGGATCTTCTCTTCTTTTAGGCCCTCCCCACCCCCAAATAGTCCTCTCTTAAGTCTATCATAAATAGTGTTTTTATTTTCTGTTACATAGGAACATAATTTTGCATTTGGTTACCTTGCCTAACTAAATAATTTCAAAGGAGGATGTTGGTTTTTCTGGATTTTCTACATATTTAATCTTATCTATGTTTCATAATCTGTGACAGTTTTTTTTTTCTTTTCAAACCAATGCTTTTTACATGATTATTTATTTGATATATTTGCCTTATTACGCTTGTATAGTATTGAATTAAAGTAGTCACAGCAAGCAATTTGTGATGTTCCCACTCTGAAAAGGAAGGCTTTAAATTTTATCATTAAGCACAATATTTGCTGCAAGTTCATTGTAGATATTCTTTATCACTTACCAAAGGGTCCTTCTTAGTTATCTGGGAAACTTAGAAAAAAAAAATCTCAAAAGAATGTTCAGTTTTATCAGTTGCATTTACCACATCTAATGAGATGATCATATTGCTTTTTTCTTCATCAAGGCTATGAATATAATGAATCTCATTAATTGATTTTTCTAAATGTTAAATCAACCTCTGTTCCTGAGATAAGTCCAACGTTGTCATGCTGTGTTATCCCTTAGTATATTTTGCATCTGTGCTGCTTAATGAGAGTATCATATAATTTTTACATATACTTGAACCCACATCAGGTGCCTACAATTTTAAAATTAAAGTGAAGTAAATGAAGCAATTAGAACCCTATGAAGTCACTTTCTTTAACCTCTGGTAAAATTTAATTTAAAACTAATTTTGTATCTACTGATTTTGTTTTATATTTACTAATTAAAATTTATTAATTTTGGGGAGCCTGGGCAGTTCAGTGGGTTAAGCCTCTGCCTTCAGCTCAGGTCGTGGTCTTAGGGTCCTGGGATCGAGCCCCACATCGGGCTCTCTGCTCAGCAGGGAGCCTGCTTCCTCCTCTCTCTCTGCCTGCCTCTCTGCCTACTTGTGATCTCTGTCAAATAAATAAATAAAAATTTAAAAAATAAAATAAAATTTATTAATTTTCTTAAAATTAAATAAAATTTAATTTTGTTTTATATTTACTAACAATATAACCTCACCAGCTTTACTTTAGAAAGAATTTGTATGACATTTTGCTAGCTATGTCTTTTTGCTTCAGGTATGTTTCAGATGTTCTCAACTGAGTCCAAAATCTGACAACCTTCTCTTTTAACTGAAGCTTTACCCCTGTTCCATTTAATAAGTTAAATATTTGCCCTTAAATCTAATCTAGTGCTTTGAAATTGTGCTATATGATTTAGATTTCTTTTATCACGTGAGCTGAGCTTTAAGACTATAAGCTTCTAAGGGCCCAGCTGTCCTTCAGTTCAATAAATTTTCTAAATTCCATTATTTTTCTTCTTTGACTCATGCTTTATTTAGTGATGAGTTTCTTCCTTTACAAAATGTTGACATTTTGTCATCCTATTTCCAATCCTGATTTCTGGTTTCTGGTTGGAAAATGTGTGAAAAGAGCATGCATTTTGCAGGTGCTATGTGCAGGGTTCTCTCTGTCCACTAGCTTAGTTTGTTGTTCCTGTTGTTCACATTAGCCGTATCTTTGCCAAGTTTCAGCCTGTTTGTTCTATCAGTTATCTAAAGAACCGGTGCTAAGATTTCCCACTAAAATTATTGATTTTTCTATTTTCTCTGTGTTTATTCATATGCAGCTACTTCAGAGTCTTTTTAACATCTCTGCCCAGTGGTTCTTCTGGCCTTGGCATTTTGAGAAAGTGCCCCGCCCCTACCATGGGATGGCCTTGAGTTGCTGGGCTTCCGTGATTTGGGGGACTAAACCAGCCCAGGTCACATCTAGATTACCTACAATCCAGAGTTTGAATGAGCCAGATTAAATGAAAGGAGGCACATGTGTTTAGGGCGGCAAGAGTGGGTTCTTTGCGTCCATGTTCATTAACTGGGCAGTTAGCCCACGTTGTGTGATTGGTGACGTGTTCTCCCCACCTCCATGGAGGTGTTATTTGGCAGTATGGCTCCTGCAAAGGAAAGGGTAACTTTGAATTCCTATCAGATTTTGGTACGAAAAGAGTTTGTTTTTAGTCCAGTTCCAATAACCAGCCTGTCAACTGTTGTCTTGTCTAGATTTAGAAATCTTTGGTCAACGTCGAGAGCTTGGCATGATGAAGAAGATGAGTGCCCATAGAAAAGCCAGTCTTTTTTTTTTTTTTTTTTTTTAATTTGACAGACAGAGATCACAAGTAGGCAGAGAGGCAGGCAGAGAGAGAGAGATTGGAGGAAGCAACCTCCTTGCTGAGCAGAGAGCCCGATGCAGGGCTCGATTCCAGGACCCAGGGATCACGACCTGAGCCAAAGGCAGAGGCTTTAACCCACTGAGCCACCCAGGTGCCCCAGAAAGCCAGTCTTTTGAACACAGAGATTGTTTTCATTTTGTTATCCCCTAAGATTTATTTCTCCTATTATCTTTAGTTGTTTGAAGGACTGAAGGCATTTCGAGGAGTAGATAATAAAATTCGACTCTTTCGGCCAGACCTCAACATAGATAGAATGCACCGATCTGCTGTGAGGGCCACTCTGCCGGTACGTAAATTTAGGAGTTTCTTTTGTGTTTCTCCAGATGTGATGAGTCACTGTGATTTTACCACAAAACAAATCCTTTCTGAATACAGTTGACCCTTGAGCAAAATCCCTCCAAAACTTAACCAAGTGCCTACTGTTGACTAGGAAGCCTTTCCAAAACATACACAGTTGATTAACACATATTTTATATGTTATACGTATTGTAGACTTGATTCTTGTAACAAAGTAAGCTGTAGAAAAGGAAGTGTGATTAAGGAAATCACATGGGAGAGAAAATTCGTTTATAGAAACTATATATTAAAAAAAAAATCCACATGCAAATGGACCTATGCAGTTCAGATCCATGTTGTTCAAGGTTCAATTATAGTTAGATCAATATTCAGTACAAACCATGAGAACTCTTAAGGTACGTCTCATCTACTTTGTAATGAATGAGGTAAAAATACAAGGGGATAACTAATACCACTTGGCAGTTCCACGATCTGTTTCTTCATAAATGTTCATGGGGGGTTGGAAGAAAAATATACCTCAAACTAAAATAAATATGAGGATCCTATGAAATTATAATATGTGAAATGGGAAATAGGGTGTGCCACACAGGTATTTTAGGAGTATTTTTGCCCAATTGCTTGGGACACTAGCAAGTTTGCAGTGATTTAATTATTTTGATATTTTAGCCCAAGCTTTCTTTTTTATTAAGAAAATGATATCAAAATGGATTGTTATGGCCATTGGTGACTATCTATAACATCGTTAAACAGCAGAATTCATTATATGGTGGGTTGGATTTAGATCCTATGGCTCACATCTAGGTAAGAGGTGTCATCAATTACTGCCCTTCCCTGATATGTGACCAGGTTGCCTTTCTGAACTGTAGGAGTCTTTTTCTTCTTTTGCAAATTTTGCATACCTAACTTTCAGGAGCCCAGCCCAAGCTGTGCTTTGAAGAAGCCCAAGTAACTACTCCATTTTAGCCAGGATCTTCCTTCTCCTCCCTATTTTTGTAACCTATGCTTCACTCACCTCCTTCAGGGGCTATAATATAATGCCAGAAGGGAAATGAAGGTACATTCTTTGGACTAGTTTCACTCTTGTGCCACTACAGACAAATTACCAGGAAATACTTTAAAGCGGGGGCAGAAAGAAAGGGAATTAATATCTGTTGGACCTCAGCTCTGCCATAAACTGTGTTATATGGTTTTACATTCCTTCTCTGTTTAATCATAACAGTAACCCTCCAGAAGGTATGTGTTTAAAAAAAAAAAAAAAAAAGTATGTGTTGTGCGTTTTAGTAGCACCTTTGTACCTAGAAGAAAACTCAAGCCTCAAGAGCTTAAATGATTGGCCTAAAGTCACAGAGTAAAGGGACAGGGCAAGAAATTGGGTGCAAGATTTTTTAATTCCTAGTCAAGTTCTGTTGTCACTGAATCTTCAGTGACTTAGAGTGACGATATGTCCTGTATGATTGGCAATCCTGAATTCTATATCCTTAAGCTGCGATTGCTGTTCTAAGTTCTCATTTAAGTAGGCAGTTCTTAATGTCATGAGTTCTACTTAGATATGTATTTCTGAGTCATTTCAACCCTGGATAACCCATGACCTACATCTCTGAAAGTATGTTTCTTTGCCCTGTTAAGTGAGTAGAAACTAACTTATTTTATAAACTGTCACCCATCTAATATATGAAAACATTTTCCTCCTTAGAAATAAACTCTTTGCCTTTGCCCATTTTTCTCTTGGGTTATCTGTGTCTTTCTTACTCATTTTCAGAATATCTTAACAGATTCAACTTATGATACTTGGTTAGTTATGGGTTATGAGTAACTTCACCCAATTTGTTGCTTCTTAGCACAGAGTCTGCTTAAGGACTCCCTCTCTCTCTGCCCCACCCTGCCACTCTAGTGCGTGCTGTGCTATTTCAAATAAATAAATAAATCTTTTTTTTTTCCTTAAGATTTTATTTATCCATTTGACAGAGAGATCGCAAGTAGGCGCAGGGGTAGGGGGAAGCGGGCTCACTGCCAAGCGGAGAGCCCGATGTGGGGCTTGATCCCAGGACCCTGAGATCATGACCTGAGCCGAAGGCAGAAGCTTAACCCACTGAGCCACTCAGGCGTCCCTAAATAAATAATTTTTTTTTTAAAGATTGTATTTATTTATTTATCTGACAGATCACAAGTAGACAGAGATGCAGGCAGAGAGAGAGGGAGAAGCAGGCTTCCCACTGAACAGAGAGCCTGATGCAGGGCTCGATCCCAGGACCCTGAGCTCATGACCTGAGCTAAAGGCAGAGGCTTAACCCTCTGAGCCACCCAGGCACCCCTAAATACATAAATCTTAAAGAAAAAAAAAAGCAAAACTCTTTTTTACCTTAAGGTGACAGAGGTATTTTTTGATTTTTACTTTATAAAAGTCTTAATGTTTTATCACATTTAAATGTATAATCCAACTATAATTGATATTTGCTATGGTAAGAGATAGAGATCCACTATTTTATCTCCTCCATGAAGATAATCCATCATCCCATCACAATTTTGGAGAAAAAAATCAGGAAAAAAATTGGTTTTATTATTACTTCTTTTTTTTTTTTTTTAAACATTCTAAAGCTTTCATGAGGATCATTTCTTATAACTACAATGTAGGATAATCTCACTCTTCATTATGTTTTCCATTCCTTCAGGTATTTGACAAGGAAGAGCTTTTAGAGTGTATTAAAGAGCTTGTGAAATTGGATCAAGAATGGGTCCCCTATTCAACATCTGCTAGTCTGTATATTCGTCCCACGTTCATCGGAACTGAGGTACAAACTGACTCCCTGTTTCCGGGTGGGCAACTTATCATTGTTTCTTCATGTGAGAAACTTCTAGGATATAGTTTGATAGCCCCCAATAACATAAATAACTCCTTTCTCCTGATTATCAAGACCAGGTGTCAGCAAACATTTTCTTTAAAGGGCCAGAGGGTAAATATTTCAGGTTTGTGGGCCATATAGTTTCTGTCGCAACGACTCAATTCCAACATTGAGGTACAGAAGCAGCCATAGTTACCAATGTAGATGAGTCAAGGAATGAGCAATGAGCAAGGCTATTTGTCTTCCCTTACTCAAGATTCACCAATATTTCCTTATATTTTCCTGAGTTTCCTCAGAGTAATTCTTCAGTGTAATGTCTCTTCTCTTGGCAGCAGTTCTCCAAGGTGGAAGTGGTAATGATTTTGAAATTTGGAGGAGGGAGAGCTGCTGCTTTTTATTTTCATTTTCCTGAAGTCTTGGGATTACCAAGGAATGGGAGTAGAAGTCCCTCTTCCCCCACAGGAAATGTTGAAAATGAAGTTCACAATGGGTGTTAGGGAAGGACCGTGAGAGCTAGAGTCGTAGCTTTATACATCAGGATGATAAGATCTGCTGGTAGGTCGCAGTCTACTGGTTGGTGCTCTTGCAAAAGGAGGACGTGCCTGGAGAAGCTAAGCCACTTGCGTGGGTGTCCTGTAAAGACCCTATTACTTGTCTCCTTCCTCTTCTAGGCAGCTGTGGTCTTATGGAGAGTGGGTGGTATGGAGGGATAATGGAGGGGGGAAGACTGAGTGTGGGTAGCAAATGAAGGGGCTGTGGCATATGGAGATTTTTAGGAATAGGGAGAAGATGGCGCTCTTTTGCTGTAGTCTAGACATTCTGCTCTCTACTAGGTAATTATATGCTTACCAGTTTCTCTATTCTGACATCTGAATGCCAGAAGTATGGAAATATATAAGGCCATGGAAAAAATACCTAAGTGGTATTATGAATCCAGACAATGAATTTCATGAAGTGCAGTCTCCCTAACAAATTTGGAAGAATTGGGACAATTACAAAAGTTATCTACTCCTTATGTCTCTTACATTTTAGTATTAATAAAGTTTATTTTTAATTTTCTATTTTATTTACATATTTTATTTTTAGTGTTTATATTTTAGGATAGGAAGAAATAGTTTTTAAAAGTCTGTTGAAACATTGTTACTACTCTGGAAGCACTGTCTTGTGTTTATTCTGAAGTACTTTCCCACTCTAAGATCTGATTCTTCTATTCTGAGTTTGTTGAAAGTTTTGTTATGAATGGATGTTAGGTATTGTTGATGGCTTTTTCTAAATGTCTTGACAGAATTATATGTTTTTGTCCTTTATTCTAAATTATATTTGTTATATTCAGTTTTTTGGTGTTAAAACAACCTTGTGTTCCTGGACTAAATCCTACTTGGCTACCATGAATAATTCATATTAAATCTTGTATTCAGTTTGCAAGCATTTTGTTAAGAATTTTTGTCAATGCTCCTAAAAGGTATTGGTCTATAGTTTCCTAGTGTATTTTGTTCTGTGATTTAGTAAATTGTTCAGAGTCCCAGAATCCTATAATCTAGAGTTAGACAAGTTTATAAACCTGATTTTATAGTCTAGCCTGTTGTCACAATTATCCTATTGGTGGTCTTCAACTTTTTGCATTTGAATCACCCAAGTTTGTTTGTTTGACTGATGATTGATTGATTGACTGGGGAGGGAGAGGGAGAAACACAATCTTAACCAGGCTCTACCCCAAGTTGGAGCCTGACACAGGGCTCCGTCTCTCAATCCTGAGATCATTACCTGAGCCAACATCAAGTCAGATGCTTAACTGACTACTGACAGCCATCTGGGTGCCCCCACTCTGGTTTGTTTGTTTCATTTATTTTTTTATTTTTTAAAGATTTTATTTATTTGACTCAGAGTGATCACAAGTAGGCAGAGAGGCAGAGAGAGGGGGGGGGGAAGCAGACTCCCTGCTGAGCAGAGAGCCCGATGTGGGCCTTGATCCCAGGACCCTGAGATCATGACCTGAGCTGAAGGCAGAGGCTTAACCCACTGAGACACCCAGGCACCCCCAGGTATTTTTTTAAATACACATCTTGACCCCAGTCCACAGAGATACTCACTGAGTAGATCAGAATGGTGTTTCTGATGGTGGGCGGAATTTAGGAACCTCAGTGACAAAAGCCCGGCCAAGAAGTTCTCTCCCAGTAGACTATCAACTTAGCTATTTGATCATGCTTTGGACCCCAGAATCAAGAATTTTTCAAAATCTGCTTTACAAGTGTAAGTTAAGAATTGAAGGAAATAACTGCTATCATGTGTAAGTCAACATTATTTATATTTGGTTGGTATATTTATACATATATTTATATCAATATTTACATTATAAATATAAATATGTTTATAAATACATATAAATATATATACAGGCAGAAAAGACAATCACCTATAATTCAGAAATGAGCATAATACAAATAATGTTCAGTAAAGCATTGGATTTAAACATTTGTACACCACACAGATGTCTTACAGTCTAGTCTGGTAAATTAGCACACACTGACTTTTCATGGTGGATGCATTTGGTAAGTGAGGTGCTGGCTCGAGGATTAGGCCCAGTGGCTTCCAGTCCACTGGGACTCTTTCATCAGGGATGGCTAACTTTTGCTGGCCTTTTTATGTTGCTTGATTTCATGATGGCTCTGCTTTGTCACTGGCTTCACAGAATAATTGCAGGCTTACCTCTGTATCGGTTATCTGATGTTTTGGTCTTGTCTTCTGCTGGCTAACATCCACATTATTTTTGTTTCCAGTTCTTTTCATGGTTAGATGAATTGATTAAGTGGGTCTTCAATCCAGGAGGTGTTTTGACTTCTTTGAATGAGCAAATAAATATATGTTGGGGTGATTTATTAAGTGATCTCACCCTGCTTTGATCTCATGTGCCCAGTGTCTAGTCCTGGGTGTGGGACCCCCCTGTGAGTGTCGAATAGTCCGTGTTCTACAACCCACTCATCTGTATTGAGCTTCAGCCCAGAGCCAAATAATTTAAGTCTGTGGAGCCAAGATCAGAGACCCTGCATTTAAGCAAACGTTCCAGGGATTTCTTTACTACTTTCAAGAGTATCACCATCTCAAGCCTTGGGAAAGAATTAAGTATATGGCTAGCAGTCTTTAAAGCTTTATTTGCTCCTGGGATTGCCAACTGGCACCAGGTAGAAATATTTACATCTTTGAAAGCTCAACTTCGTCCCAAGGGCACGGTGTCATTTTCACTTTCAGGGGCCATGATACAACAGTCCAGTGTTAATTATTCCTTCTTATGCCCAGTTTGATTCGGCAGCAGCCATGTGATAAGAGAGTGGTTCTCCTATCAGCTTACGAATTTCATTATGTTTGCAAAGTGTTCTGCTTCTTCACATGTTTATCATTAACTGACCCTTCATTTTTACTGACTTACATAGGTAATATCTACGTATGAATGTTTTTGTGCAGTTCTTCATATGTCTTCCAGACTTATTCGATAATAATTGATTCCATTACTAAAAGCCTGTTAGATTTAGGATTATGATAAACAGAATAGTATTTTATTGGGACATTTATAATTATCTATTAGTATATAACTACTGGGTAGAACTTGCCAGTAAAATATACCAGGCTGCCTATGAGTAGAAATTTTTTTAAAAAATTTTTTCCCATAAAATTCACATTACTAAACAAAATGCTGAACATTAATACATAAACCTCTTGGGAAAAAATTTAGAGAGTAAAATCATTCACGTTACCAAAAGATTTCTCATTAAAAAAGGAATTTGAACATCCCTTTACTATCTTCTAAAATGTTTTTTTATAGGTAGTTAAAAACTTAAACAGAAACTAAAAGCTGGAGTGCCTCAGACTACTGCTGATTATGTGTCAATTGGAAATTAAGATAAAATCTGAAAGCCTACTATTTAAATAAAGAACATTTACATGAACAATTTCTAGATTTTCATTTTATCAGACAAGAAGTTAAAATTACATGGCTATCAGAATCAGTATGGGATACCGAGCAGCCTTACCTCTAAAGAAGCTGGGTTTTGCTGATTTTAACATCTATTTTATCCAGCTTCACTCTGTTTAGTAACTCCAAGCAGGTACAGCTATATGAACGTACAAACAGACACAGGCTTTATTTCCTTAGTGATTCTAATAAGTGTACAAGTGCTTTGACCACAGTCTATAACAAAATAGGCACAACCATGAATTCTGAAATCCCGTGTGATCATGCTGTTCAGCCTTTCACATTTCCAGTTTTTCTCAGTGTCCTCTCATCCCACTGGAGATGATTGGAGAGGTGACAGAGTGAGGCTGCACTGGATAGTAGCAGGGCTGAGGATCCGTGTCACGGAGAAGAATCAAGTTTGATGGTGGAGGCACAGCCCACTCGGCCCCTTTGACCAGGTCCCAGGCTGAGGCCACAGATCTGCAAGCCACCAGCAGATTTGGCTTTTTCAGCTGTTCTCCTAGACAGACTGTCTTTGGCTCATGCAGAAGGCGAGGAATCCCTCATATTCAGTTAACTCGTACTTTTTTTTTTTTTCTTAAATATATATATTCAAAGATTTTATTTATTTATTTGACAGAGACAGAGAGAGAGCACAAGTAGGCAGAGCGGCAGACAGAGGGAGAGGCAGACGCAGACTCCATGCTAAGCAGAGAGACGGATGCAGGGCTCCCTGGGATCATGACTGAGCCATCCAGGCACCCCTTAACTCCTACCTCTACATTCAGAGTGCCCTTACATAAATCTCTGGAGCTGAGCCCCACTAGAGAAGCAGTCTGCTTTGGTTAATTGCAGCCTCAGACGCCCAGAATACAATCTGAACAGTGCAGAGCATTTTCAGTCCCTTCACATAAACAGTTTCCCCATTCACAACTTCTGGAAATCTTTCAGAATGACATTTTCATTAGCGCTCCCATTTATAAAACTCCTGCTGCCAAAG